AGTGATTTGACCTGAGGGATGGGAAATGAATGTTTACCCAGATACAAAACTGGTGGTCAGGCAAACTCCATTCCTTGTCCATCAGAGATGTCATTCATAAGCACTGACCTATGGGTGAGAGGCACAAGAAACCCAACAAGGCAGGGAGAGTTGCTTTCCACCTCTCTGTCCCGGTTCTTGTTTGAAAGCCACAGGATGGGGCTCTAGTTCCCTTAAGCAAAAGATAACTTATTGAGAATACAGGTAGCTCACAAATCTATGGAAAAATTGCACATCCAGACTTCAGAAGGGATAGAAACTAGGACAATTCTGAGGGTTCCGGTAGCAAGAACAAAGGGATAATCTCTTTCTGGTGTCAACTTCAAAGTTTTCTATCCTTTCCTCTTTAAAACTAAGATTCTGTTTCCTGTGGGAGAGAGAGCCTGATTGGCTTTGCTTGGGCCACCTGCCTTTTCTGGTGGGTGATAGAGAGAGCAACTTGAATATCAGTCTCCAGAAAACTGCATGCACTGAGTGAACACTTGGTTCCAGAAAGAAGAATCAAATGCTATTAATGCTATTTCTAGAAGAAGCAACGTGGATGCTGAGCAAGCAATAAACTTTTGAGATGCACAGGAAACTGAAAGACTACACAGGGAAGCCAATAAGGAGACTGGGTTGGAGAATACAACTGCAAGAAAAAGTAAAGGTTCTTCACCACTATTCACTAACTCTATGTAAATAGTAGCAAACAGCTTTCTAGATTCCACTAGATTGTAAGCCTTATTGCCTAAGGATCTTCTTTATTGTCTTACTCAGAACAGACTCAGGAATTAGAAGAATTTGAGATGGCAAATAGAGTGATAACAAAATTAGGCAAACCATCTTGAAGAAGCTGACAAAAGCAGGAGCTGCCCAGAGAGCAGGTGTAATACTAAGCTCCCTGTATTTTGTAGTAGGTAGACAACAAGAATTCAGTTACTTGTATTTAAATGACTATGCTACTTAAGATACAGACAAACATGATGAAAATGCATTTGAAAAATATATGAAACAAAAATAGCTGGAAATATTTTATTATCAAATACAATTTCATCAGGGAAAGACATTCCATTGATTTGAAATTTGCACCAAGGTATTATCACTGAGAAGGCTTTAGGTTGTCAGTAATAGTAAACCTTTAATTTACACTGGCTTAAACAAGGAAAAAAATTAATTTCACTGAAAATAAGATATTTGAACTAGGCTCCAGTAACAGTAAAAATTACTGACAATGATACTCAGGGGTTAGGACTGCAGTTCTCAAAACTCATTCTCAGGACCCTTTTAAACTGCTTATGTGGATTAAACCTATTAATATTTGTTGTAGTAAAAATTAAAATCAAGGAACAGTCAATGTTGTTTTGGGGATGTATTGAAAAAAATGGGCTGATACAGCTATATAATTAGAAAGGGGAGAAGTATTTCGGAGTCTTGTCAGATAATTGTAGGTATTCTTTGATATTATACTGAAATCAACAAAAGCTAGTTTCATAAGTATCAGTTATCATGTGGATCTGGAACCATAATAATTAACTTTTTATGTTCCATTACATTAATACCCATTGGGCTAACTTGCATTGAGTAGGTCTTTAACCCCATCCATAATTTTGTAAAGTCAAACATTGGTCATTTGGAAAATATTAGTTCACATGCAGATCTTCTAAATACCAACACATTTCACAATACAATATCAAAACGATCATATTAATCCATATCATTCATGTTCTTAAAATACTGGGAATCTGTCAAGCTCAAGCGCCAGATACAAATTTTCCAAAATTCTAGGTTTTCATGAAAGCTTGACTTTTGTCACTGGTAGCAAATACGGTCCATTGTTTTCCCTGAAGGGGCTCACTTTGTCCAAGCTGAGGTAACATCTCCCAAATATTCAAGTCTAAGTAACCTTCAAATAAAGTCTAGTCTTTCAAATAAAAAAGGAGCTAATTTAGGTTACCCTTCACAAGAGTGGTTCCTTTGAGACTAACTTCATATTTTATTTTTCTCTAGCAATATTATTTTTTGTTTTCTAATTTTTTATTTATTTTTATTTTAAAAAATATTTTACGTTTCCACTTTTTTTTTTTTTAAAGATTTATTTATTTATTTATACAAGCACTGGATACAGTCAGAAGCACAGGAGGGTGAAAGAATTCACCAGAGTCAGAGCGGAGAGCAGAGCAGGCAGAAGGACCGAAGCACACTGCTGAGGGGAGTGGCGGGCGGCAGGAGAGGTCTGTGTACCCTGTGGGACCCTCGCCTGGCAGCCGGGGATCGAACCAGCGCTGCAGAGGCTGCGGGCAGCTTCGCAACCCAGCATTCAACCGCTGTGCCACCGGGGAGGCCCTGTTTTCTAATTTTTTAAAGATTTATTTATTTATGCATACAAGAGCTGGGGTACAGGCCAGAGATGCGGGGGGTGAGAGGATCCACCAGAGACAAAATGGGGAGCAGAACAGGCAGAGCGATTGAAATGCACTGCTGAGAGGAGCAGCGGGCAAGACAGGAGAGGTCTGCCTCGCCATGTGGGTTTCTCCCTGGCTGGCAGGGGATCAAACTCGTGCTGCAGAGGCTGCGGATTGCTTCATAGTGCAGTGCTTAACCCCTTGTGCCACCAGGGAGGTCCTCTAATTTTTTTAAACTTCATACTTTAATATTCAGCAAGAGACTTACGAATACTTGCTTTTTTTTATACAGATGTCAAAAAAATGTATACTCAAATTTAATAGAACTATTTTTCTTTACTTCATCAGGGACATTAAGTGAAACTAGTTTATTTTTCACAAGTGCACATGGAAGACAAGAAGACAATGACTATTATTGTGGTGTGTATCATGTGTGCCACTGACTTGACCAGCTTTCCTGCCAATACTTGTGCATCATCAGTACAAATGTCAGAGCAAAAAAGGGCAAACAATGCCTTACTTTTATTATGAAAATAGTTTTGATCTCACAGAACTCCTGAAATGGTATAGGAGACCCTCAAGGGTCCATGGACCATCCACTCTGAGAAGAGTGAGCTTAGACTTTATAGGATCTGGAGCCAAGGGTGAGGTCAGTTAACCCTGAATCATGTGAGAGAGAAGTAGATACCTAAACAAAACTAAGATTTTTCTAGGAGGAAAGAAGAAGTAATGGATACTGATAGGCAAACAAGTATCTACTACATATGGAAATCACAGTACAGTTAATATGGTTAGTTGTTGTAGAATTCAATCAGTAGAGAGAAATACTTTCCTAACTGTTGCCAAGACCATTGGATATACACATGCAAATCAATGAATTTGGACTCTCTACAACATACAAAATTTAACTCAAAATAGGTCAAAGACCTAAATGTAGAAGCTAAAACTATAAAACTCTTAGAAGAGAACAAATAGGTTAATTTTTATGACCTTGGGTTTAGTAATGTATTCCAAAAACGCAAGCAACAAAATTAAAAATAGAAGTTGGACTTCATTAAAATTAAAAATGTTCATATGTCAAAGGATACCATGAAGTGTCCTCCTATAGAATGGGAGAATATTTACAAAATGATATATCTAGTAAGGTTCTAGTATCCAGAATATATAAAGAACTCTGACAACTCAACAATAAAAGATAATGTAATGAAAACAAATGGGAAAAAGATTTCAATAGACACAGATACACAAAGGGACAATGAATACATGGGAAAATAACCAACATCATTAGTCACTGGAAAAATCCATGTCCAAAACACAATGAGCTACTGCTACACATCTACTGGGATGGCACTAACCAAGAAAAAACCCAGAAAATAGTGTTAGAAGGATGTAGAGAAAATGAAAGCTTTACACATTGCCGGTAGGAAAGTGAAAATGATTCAGCTGCTATGGAAAAGTAACATAGAATTAAACATATAATTACCATATGACCCAGAAATTCCACTCATTGGTACGTACCCAAAATAATTGCTCCCCCCCAAAAAATTTGTATACAAATGCTCATAACAGCATTATTCACAGTTGCCAAAAGGTGAAAACAACACAAACGTCAATCAATGGATGTGTAGATAAACAAATGATGATATATTCATAAAATGGAATATTATCCAGCAATAAAAAGGGACTAAAATCTAATACATCCTACAAAATAGATGAATCTAGAAAACATTATGTTAAGTAAAAGAAGTTAGGCACAAAAAGATATGAACTGTATGATTCCGTTTATATGAAATGTCCAGAAAAGGAAATTTGTAGAAATAATTAGCAAATTAGTAGTTTCTAGGGACACTGGAGGAAGAAATGGGGAATGACTGTATAATGAGTACAAGGTTTCCTTTTTGGATGATGAAAATATTCTGGAACTAGATAATGGAAATGGTTGTACAACACTGTGAATGTACTAACAGCAACAGAATTATTCATTTTATAATGGTTGAAATAGTGAATTTTATAGTATATGATATTTTACCACAATTTAAAGGGGAAAAAAAAAAAACCTTGCTAAGTCTGCATGACAAGAATAATCCCAGAAATGGTTTGACAAATGAATTGGCACAGTGCTGAAGTCTAAATCCTGTGACTGTTTTTGAAACTAACCATCACACAATGCACTAGGCTCACACCACATCAGGTAAAAGGGATCCTGGCAGAGACACAAGAATTCTCCCGACCTCAGAGGATAAAGCTGTAAGACTGACACAGCCATCTCAGTGGCAATACGCAAACTTATTGATTGTAAAAACAAGCAAATATACCATCCTGGAAAAGGAGACAGAGCAAGTCAAATCACCTATGGCCATGGATATCACAGAAAAAACTGACCTTGAAAATATTCTCATTATAGAGGCTAGAAAGGTAGGAAGTTGAGAAAAGGTAAGGAGCTGCTACAGGTGACAGCTGGTTAGTGGAAGAGCCAGGAACGAATGTCTTGCCTGTTTGTGTTCCCACCACATGATCTGCATAGTCAAGGTTCTCTATAAATACCTTCCAGAACAGTTGTAATAGGAATGTTTATTTAGCCAGGGATGACCGTATTTCCTCTACAAGTCCTCTCAAATAGGTGTTCAAAGAGAGGCCTGCTATCTTCACTTTCAAAATAGTGCCAATCTGAATGTTCAGAATCTTGCCTTGTGTCACACCCAAGTTAGAGAGCTGATTTATTTAGGACTGCCCCTCTACTTTACCTCCTGTGTTCCAGAAACCAGTCACCAAACCTGTGAATCTCACTTTGGAAGATCTAGCAAAATTTGATGCTCTTCTGTTCTCCTCATGATTCCCCAATTTTTGGCTCGAACTATGCCATATGCCTCCTAATGTCCAGTGCAACCAATGGCTGCATCCAACGTGGACTCAGTTGCCCAGAAGCCTGAGGTAGTTCCAAACCCTATGACACTCTGGCTGTAGATGGGGTAGAATCTGGGTGCATTAGTCTTTTCTTCCTCTGGACTGGTTCCAGATTAATAGTCACTATAAAAATAAGGTGTGAATACATTTTAAAGATCCTAGCTACAACAATGGCCACTGTGGACATCCTTCAAATGTCCAGAGAGTGATTTTGATTTGGTGTTATAAAGCATACTGGATTATCTGGTTTCCATGGCAACCTACAGTTTTGCCCTCAGTGATAATCAAAGACAGCAGTCTCCGATTTCCTTCTAGCTCTAAAAGTGCTCATTTTGTGACTATCTGGGGTTATAGAAAGGCTACTAGAGGGAGAATGGTGCAAAAGTAAAACTACTAAATTTAACTCTTAAATGTCTGATATTAAACTATTAAACTAGAAGCAGGGACAAAGATGGCTGCCTGGGAGGAAGTCTGGTGGAATTCAGGGAAAAGACAGTCTGTTTCCTCCATGGGCAGAGTATGATGTCTCACAGCAATCCTAAATTAAAAGACCTTTAACCTGTGCTCTATCCCAGTCTTCACTAAGGCAGAGCAAGGAGCACATATCATTGAGTGGTCCCTTTTTAAAATGGCTACAAACTATGAATTTCAGGAATTAAATGGTCATATTTCAGGGGAAAAAAATCCCTATCTAGAACTATCCTCTGCTAATGCGTGGCAGGTTCCGGCTGTTTTGTAGCAATAGGAGCAGCTCCTTTTAGGACGGACATTCAGAGTGGAGAGCAGGGGTTCCTGTTTGATCTGATCCAGAAGCCTCTATAGAAACAGAGAGAAAAGGAGGAAAATCTTCTAATGGGCTCTGAAGCCCCAGCGACTGCAAGGTCACAGGCTGTCCTTCTCATAGGAACGAAGTGCATGGCAGATTGTGACCAAAATTCCTGAGCAAGGGAGGTTCAGGGGGCTGTTCCCTCTTCCGTAAAACATGTGTTTTGGTACCGAGAGACTGTGAATGACATCCAACAATCCTTGGTTTAGCGTCCTTTTGTTTACCATTCACCTTAGTTTCTCTTTTGACACAAATGCCTCATAGAACATTTGAGAGAAACCTGTGCATCTATATCGCAAACAAACCAAAAAGACATGGCCACTGGATCTCCCCAGGGGCGCTGGAGCATAACAAACAGATGGGGATATTTTCTCAGCTGGAGGATAAAGCTGGCTGCGCATGGTTTGTCTGGGCCGTCCAGGAGCCCATGAAACGCCAGCTCCCAGTTCTGGACAGAAAGGGTGGCAGAAAGCTAACAAAAATCCACCTTTGCTGCTGACAAACATTAGACTGGGGAGGAGAGCCCACAGTAATTACCCAAACAGGGCTGCTAACGCGGTCTAAGTTCAGCCTCCACCCAGGAAAAGGTGGAGTCTGCAAAGCAAACACACTTCTTGGTAGCAGCCTGAGCTGCAAAGAAGAAAAATGAAGGATAACAGAACCTACCAGGTCCCTGCAGAGGCGCTGTGGGAGCGCGCTGGCCCAGTAAACAGAGACCAGTGGCTGTCACCCATCACCAAGAGCTCACCCAGCTCGGCCTCAGAAGGAAGGGGGTGGTAAGGTGAGGGAAATCCTTCGCGGCCGGGTGGGTTCAGAGAGGAAAAGCTGCGCCGTGCTTGTCATGCCCTAAAACAAATGAATATGCTTGATGGTTAGGAAACTTTATTAAACCTAACCAGCTTAGAAAATAGAAATATCTTAAATATTGGAACTGGGACTGCCAAGCACTGGGTTCTAAAGGCTGTTTAATTGTGTGTGCTGCTTTCCTGGAGATGGGGGTGGGGCAGGAGGGGTGTTGGAACAAGTGGCCCCACACCTGGGGTGCAGCGGGGGCTTGGGGATAGGGTGGATGCCCCCTTCTTTGCACCAGTGTCTCGTGGAAGCCTCAAGCTCTGGCATTCTGTGAAAGACCACAGGGATGTGCTAGGGACAAAGGTCATCAGCCCAGAGTCCCGTGCTCTGTTCCCCTTCCAGCTTCTTCTGGGAGAGAACCTGGCCTTGAACCTCCTCCCAGTTGGCAGGAGGCTCCCTCCTCTAGGCCCGCTTCCTGCCAGCTCTTTTCCTGCCTAGATTTCACCTCCCTCCACATTGTCCTGGATGCTCCTAGGATACCCACCGGCCCTGAGAACTCCTGTCGCTGCACTTCCCTCCCTCCGTCCCCCTTCTTTGGATCAAATATTGAAACCAGACTTCTCCCCCTCAAGTGTGGCTGGCACTTTACCCATAAAAACAAAGAGAACTGGCAGGAAACGGACACCCCTGTTTCAATGGGCATTTGCCAGGCATGGCGCAGTGAGACTCAGTGGTAAGACTCCTGCAGTCCCCTTGTTCTCGGGGGGTGGGGGGTACCCTCTGTGCTTCTCGGCAAGTCCCCCCGCAAGTCCCCCCTTTCTACTTTCCCCTTCATCTCTCTCTGACTCACTCCTTTTCTTGGTCACTCTCATAGTCTATCTTCCTTCCTCTTTCTCTTTCTATCTCTGAGTGTTGGGTTTGGGATTCTTTCTGCCTCCTGGCCGCTACCCCTTTTCCTTCTTCCAGTCTCTTACCCTTTCCCACACATAACTGTGTTCTGGTTGACTGGGTTTGTACAACAGCCTCCTAAAAACCCCCCTGTGGACACAACTTCCATCCTCACTTCTTCCTCCACTTCTGTCGGTGACAGCTTTACACCACTCCCTGTTCAACCTCCCAGGGCCACGCAAGTGAGTCCAAACTCCAGTGAGGCAGAAATTCCCTGCAGCCCGTGGCTCTACTCACCTTCCTCTCAGCCACTCAATTGTGTATTGGTTCAGCAAGCAAATAACTTTAGTTATTATCTATTATAAACAGACGCTGTACCAGGAACTGAAGATAAAATATAGAGTAAGTCCAAATATATTTACAGATAAAGTGCTTGGGATTTGCTTCAAAATAATCCAAGGAGTGTGTGTGTGTGGCGGGGGAGAGATGGGAGCTGGTGAAATGGAAGAGGTATGGAGAAAACAAGATTGACCTGAGTGGGTATTATTCAAGCTGGGTGCCGGGGGTGGAGGTTCATTATTATTCTATTTCAGTATATGTTTGGACATTTTTTCATTGAAGATATGATGGGTAAATAGAACTGACAAGTCTCTGGCTTCCCTGTTCTCAGGGTTCTTCATGTGCTCCATGCACAGCCAGAGGAAACTTCCAGTCCCTCAAGTCCACAATTGAACCTTCAAGCATCTACAAGCTCCTTCCCCATGCTCTCTACCCCATCCCCCTCCTTTTGCTGACCCCCCTCCATCTCCAAGCCCACTTGCCCTAGGAAGTCTTTGCTGACCAGGTGCCCCCATCTTATCATAATACTGTCACAAATTGTGGTGAAATGTCACACATTGTCGTGATTGCCTCTTTCATTGCCTGCCTTTCCCATGAGGCTGAGTGCACTGGGAATGTTTTTTTTTTTTTTTTTTTTTTTTTTATCTTGCTCTCTGTTTTATCCCCAGGGCCTACTACACACTAGCAGCTCAGTATTCACTGAATGAGTAGAAGGAACTAAGTAGTTTCCAGCAGGGTGGCACAAACTTGGCCTCAATGTGTGGTCCGGCGTGGGATGGGGGAGGATAGGGAGGGGCTGTCTTGGCACTGTGCTGCCTACGATGTCAAGGCCTGCTGGCTCGCCTGCCACCACGGGCATTTCTAGCCTGTGACAGCAGCTTTGGGGCAGAGTCCACATAGAGCAGTGTGTAGAAGTTTTCTGGACAGAAAAATTTTGAAGCTCTTTTGGTAAAATACAAATCATTGACCTGGTAATGCTTTTACTGACTCTTCAGTAAATTACAATGTGATGTAATTACAGTTGAACAAGGATTCAAAATGACATTTATTGAAAATGTCTTCTCAATAATAAACCACCTACATACCTCCATCCCTTAACAGAGAGCATGTAAGCACAAGCGGTGTGAAGCTACATGGTTTATTACTTTACAGAAGTGTCAGAGGCGTTTACTTCACCCTGGTATGCTAACATGAATGGTTGCTCACAGATCTGCTTCTCACAGAGGCCTTCCCTGAACGCTTTTCCTCAAGTACCCATCCAGACTTTTGCTTTTCTGTTCAATTGTTTAATAGCATCTGTACAATCATGTATGATTTACTTATTGATGGTCTAAGAATGTTAGCAATCTGTAATCAGGTTCTGTCTGGTATAAACCAATACTGGGCATATGGTAAGTGTTCAATGAATGAATGAATGAGTGAATGAATGAAGGTGGTATTTATTGCTGAAGGTGGTATTTATTACTGAGCTACTGCCTCTGCAATAACAAAAGCAAACTTTTTAACCCAGCATTTTTCCTCTGTATTCATGCAAGACAAAAGCATTCTTTCAGTAAAATGTAAAAGGGTAATAAAATACAATAGTGGCATAAGATGAAAAAGAAAGACCTCTCATCTCAGGAACTCACTGCGTAAACAAAAGCAATGCTGAGTAATAACATCCATAGTTTCAGATAGAAAATGTTGTCAGTAAAATAATCCCCATTCAGCTCTTACCTCAGTGCTATCTAACCAAGGAACAGTCTGCAGTGCAGACAGGAAGAGAAACATCTTACATGCCTTTGCAGCTTCTCCCAGGATAGCGTGTTTAACGGCTACATGTTAGTTTGTTGCATGGATTTTCTTAGTATTGGAGAGTTTAGCTCATCATAATTTTTCATTATGATGAGCTCTGCTCTTGGTAACATGTTTGTATTGATAATCACATCCATGTGCTAAATAACTACTTCTGTGTAATTCCTTATAAGCAAAATTTGAAATTTAAGGCTGCTAATATTATTAAGGCTGTGGATAACTTCCCCAGATGCTCTAAGTTCTTTATCTATGAAACTGAGTAGATTAACTTCACTCTGAACGTTTCCCTATGCCCCTCCCTGTTGGTGGGAACTTGCTCCTCATTTACACACATCCTAACTGCCTCTCCACGCCACAGTTACACATATGTCATAGACAGAATTATCTTCCTTTCTGTTGTCATGGCTCCCTTTCCAGATTCCCTGGCCCAGTGGAAGTTCTGACTTCCAGGGAAGACTGTTTTTCTAGATGTGGTAGACATTGCCCACCCCCTTGCACAGGGTCACCCCTGGCAAATATAGGCACTGACTTTTGCTACTGCCTTCCCTGAGAATAAACACACAACAATTATGGTAGTATTTTGGCTCTTATGGCCTATTTTCGATCATCTCTGCAATTTACATAATAGTGCTTCCTTGATCACATACTCTTAAATGTATATCTCAAATTACAATAATGCTCCTTTAATAAAACATTATCTTTATAATGATCAACTATATGGCATGGGCTCTAAGATGCCTTGTGAAAAAGTAGATGACAACTACTAAAAACCCATTAAAGGACAGCAACTCTAATTATCCTAATCACAAAAAGAATGGTATATAAACTTTTTTTACATTTCTTATTGTGATAAGATATATAGATATAACATAAGCATACCATTTTAACCACTTCAATGTGTACAATTTAGTGGCATATAAGTACATTCACTATATTGTGTGACCATCATCACTATATATTTTCAGGACTCTTTTATCACTCCAAACAAAAACTCTACAACTGCAAGGCAATCATTTCCCATTCCCCTCTTCTAGTCCTGCTAACTGTTACTCCTCTTTCTGTCCCTATGAATTTGTCTATTCTAAATGCATCATATAAATGGGATCATATGATACCTAGTTTTTTGTGTGTCTGATTTATTTCACTTAGCTTAATGTTTTCAATGTTCATTCATGTTGTAGTGCGTATCAGGATTTCATTCATTTTTATTGCTGAATAATATTCCAGTGTGTTTATCCAGTCATCTGTTGATGGACACTTAGATTGTTTTCACCTTTTGGCTATTGTGAATAATACTGCTATTATAAAATTACTGCAACTCTAATTACCCTAATTATAAAAGAATGGTGTTTAATGTGTTCTTATGATTCATCTCTGCTCCAAACATTTCCAATTTCTTACACGCACATATGGGTATCACTATTCACATTCTTTTTGAATAATCAGAGATTTAAACAGTATACCAAACTAACTGATTTTATTTTAACCTCAGTTTAAGAAGAATATGAGGGCCTCCCCGGTGGCGCAGCAGTTGAGCGCTGGGTTGCGAGGCTGCCCGCGGCCTCTGCGGCGCCGGTTCGATCCCCGGCTGCTCCCCGGCCACTGGAGGAGGGTCCCACATGGCGTGCAGACCTCTCCTGCCGCCCGCTGCTCCCCTCAGCAGTGTACTTCGGTCCTTCTGCCTGCTCTGCTCCCTGCTCTGGCTCTGGTGAATTCTCTCACCCTCCTGCGCTTCTGACTGTACCCAGTGCATGTATAAACAAGCAAACAAACAAACAAATAAATAAATAAAAACATGCCTCTATTTAAAAAAAAAAAAAAAAGAAGATGAGAAAGTTTGAAAAATACAGACGACTCAAAATAGGTAAAGAGAGGAAGATTTAGAGAAAACTAAGGAATGGCATTATTAACTGAGACCAAGAGTAACATACACAAAAATGTTTACTATGTCAGAACTTCTTGAAAACTAGGTAGGTTACTATTTCTGAGCTTCCTAGTGACCAAGGAGAGAAAGAATCAGTAATAAGAGTCATATGGTTTATAAACAAGCAAGCAAACAAACAGAAAACTACCAGTTGTTCAAGAAAAAGCAGCCCTGGTATTTCTAGTATTGAATTAAAAAATAATTGGGAATACCATTTGACATAACATATCTTTACTTACTTCCTTATAATAAACACAAATTGAGTTTCAGAAGGCTGTTTCTTATAGTGCTACTCGAAGAAAATTAAATGCGTAACATAACGTAGGATTCAGAAAAAAATAATTATAAGAGAAGGGGATAAATGTGTCCAAATATTCAGTTCTCTGCCTCAGGGATGAAATTTGGGTCTTAATAGGAATAAATGGACTGCATATGCTCAAGGAATTATTTATCAATTATGATTTCCAAGAACTTATTTTTGAAATAAGAGTTACATAGCAGTGAATTTTAAGTTGTATTTTCTGAGAAGAACCGCGAAGCCTTCTGCCCATATTACGGATAAGGGAAACTGATGTACTGAACCATCTTCTAAGCAGAAAATAGGCCCAATATTCCTCTATTAAAATGAGAAGACCTAGACAACATCAAATGTTGGTGAGAATATGGATTAGCCAGAATTCCAACACATTATTGCTGGGGATATAAAATGTGAATACTTTGGGGAAAAAAATCTGATGACCCAGAAATGTTACTCCTGTGTGTGAAAGAATTAAAATGTGTTCACAAAAGGATCTGCACAAGAAAGTTCACAGCAGTACACAGATTTTTTCCAGTGTATCAAGTTAATTAAAAACTGGAAAAAGCCTGGGTGTCCATCAATGAGAGAATGGATATACAAATTATAGTTTCCCTTAGTAACGGAATTTTATCCAGCAATTGAAAGATCAACTTATACCGCAATAAGATGGCTATCTCTCAAAAGCATCATGCTGATAAAAGTTTGGTAGAAGACAGGAACAACGTAAAAACTTAAAAGCATGTTGGAATCAAGTCAGAAAGAGAATGCTTGTACAGTTTCATGGCGCAGGACACGTTGCCTCAGTCTTGTCATGTGGTAAATGAGAATAACAAGCTCTGGTTGTGAGAATTAAATTAGCATGGAGGTGACTTTATTTTGTAATTTTAAAATTTACATATAGATTATCTGTATCTTTTTGCAACTTCTTTCCATTTAGTCCAATTTGAAAGTACTTGGTAAAGAACAGCATGGAACAAATACATTATCGCTAATTAAAACAAAACAAGATACTGGTTGGCAAGAAGGAAGAAAAGAGAAATATAGTTTGAAGAGAACAACATGTAATAAAATTATGTTTTGTGGCCAAAAACATTATACAGAGTAAACTAAGCCTTAAAAGACAGCAAGTATAGACTGTGGTTTCATTTATGTGAAATTCTAGAACATTTTCTTCATCCATCTATGATGAATAAAATCAGGACAAGAGTTTCCTCTAGAAGGGTGGGAGTATGGCTTGACAAGGACAGGGGAGGGAAAATGGGGTGATGTTAACAGTTTATATTTTATAGGCATTTAAAGGGAACCAAAACTCACCCACTGGTACTTTTGAGATGTCTGTGTACCTCTTTGTGCAAACTTTAGCTCAAAAGGAAAAAAAAAAAAAAACACTATAAATAAATTTGAAGTCTATTAGTGAAGTACATTTGGGACAAAGTATACTGATGCCTACAACTTAATTTAAAATTCTCTTAAAAATAAGAACAGACAGAGGGGTAGGTATATGTTTTGTATGTGACAATGCAGGTGGAGTTAAATGGTAATGGTAAGATCCTCATGGGGGTACACTGTGAAAGTCTAGTGTGCTTGAACGTTTCTGTATTAAAAAGAAATCCAAAATAAAATAGAGACCATAACCAAGATCATGCCCAAAGTGACAACCATTCTATTTCTGCATAGAAATGGGCCAAAGTAAAAAGTAATTCATAAGAAAAATTATTTTTAAAAGCATCTGAAAAGTTTGCTTTGGCAGCACATCTACTAAAAGACTCTTTAAACAGATCTAGATATTCTTAGGGTTTTTATTATTAACCTATGATGGGTCATAGGTTATTAACAGTGTCTGTTAATCATTTAGAAAAATTCAAATGAGATAAATCAAGAAATATAAACACCCCTGACATGTCCAATCTAGGAAGTATCACTGCAGTTTTAAGTAAAATCCACCAGGTGGCAGAGGAAAGGAATCACAGAAAATGCGTACATTTTCTAATTTAAATGAATAATGGAAAATATCTTCTTATTTCATAAACGATTTGCCTGCTGAGATGACAATTTCAAAACAGCCGTAGGAATAAATGATATAGGAGAAAGAGAAAAGATTCCCCACATTCTAATTACAGAGGCTAAATATTACTTCTTATTTCTGCTTATAAAAAAATTTGCAGACTTGTACCATGAAATTCACCATACAGGCCAAAGACCTTAATGTGTGATATAAATCCGAGCTAAAATTTTTGCCCAAGGATACTTGCTTATCTATAAAATGGTGATTATTCTGATTTGCTATGCTCAGTAGCACAATTCCTCCCTCTTTCAGTGATTACTTTTTGTTTATGTGAGAGAGACCAAGCAGTTCTCCCTTCTCATGGCTCACACAAGGAATCAAAAGCATACCTGTCAGCCTCCTGTGTCCACCGGCACCCACAAGACAGAGTTTCTAATTTCTTCCCCCCACCCCAACAGATCCTTAAGTATTCCTCCTCTTACTTTGAGCAAACACTTTGCCTGCTGCGATGACAATTTCAAAATAGCAGTAGGAATAAATGATGTAAGAGAAAAAGAAAAGATCCTCTACATTCTAATTACAGAGGCTAAAAAACAGACTAGACATATTTGAGTTATTCACAGTAATCAACGTGTGTTTTATACATAAGATCAAGCTCGTGATTATTCTACTTGAGCAGGTCTTGATTTGTCTCCTATAACTTTCCAGAGGGATTCCTCATTAATCTGCACTGAATTAAGGCAACCGCTCTACCTTTTCCTTTCTATTATGTGCTTTGGGATGGCAATCTAGCATTAATTTTTCTTTTAATTTCAAAGGTTGTGTAACTTTTTTTTATTCAGAAGGAGAAAAAGGGTGAATAAAAAGTCAAAAATCAAGTTTGTGGAGCCAGAATTCCTTTGAACAAATAGACTGGTCATATTTTTAGATGTTGGGAAATGACTGTCCATGTAGTAACTGTGCAGGTACATACTTTTCCTAGGGTTCTGGGGAACTTCGGGGTATAAGGGGGGCCATGGCATGGCAACTGGAGAATCCAGCTCTAAGATGCAAAGCAGCAGCCTCAGAAACTCACTGCACTAATAATACCAACACTCTGCTTTTAATGTTAAACTCCCAAAGCCTGTTTCATGTTTTCTAGAAAAGTTCACTGCTTGGCATTTTTTTTTCTCCTGACAGCTATGATCCCATGGGAACAGAACATGAAAACCCTCTCACAATTTCAGAGCTTCACCTTAGTCTCTGTTGGACTTGTCTAGCAAGTCGACTCATCCCTTTCTTAACTAGGCAGCAACCAGATATATTGGTGTTATTTAGGATCACACCCTACTTTAAACACTCATTCAGTTGCATTTCCAATATTTTAGAGCTGCTACCTTCGTTCACATCTCGATACAAGTTTATGACCTGAAGTTTTAACACTGCCACTCCTTGATCACAAATCAGGCTAAGCACTTATGCCATGGAAAAAGGAAAGCTGTGCCAGCTGGAAAATACACTCTAATGACTACTATAACAACAAAAAAGCGGAAGATTGTTTGTCTGGCAATTTGAGAACTTGGGGTCATCACATTATGCAAGTGTTATTAATTAAAGCATTTTATTAAGTGCCAAGAAAACCACGGATTAGGATATGTATGTTTCCTCAAAAGCTTTTGACTCAAAAATAGGAAAAATTCTCTATTTCTTTCAATTTGTTTCTCTTCCATATTCAATTTTGCCAAACTGAAAATGTTCTTTTTTAAAAAGTTATAATTAGGCTTTAGTCAACATGCTGTTTTAACCTGTATACTGTCTTTTCCTCCAGTAAACTGGGTTATTTTATAAGCCATTCAAATACTTGCAGACAGACATATTTGCCTGATAGTCTATTAAAAAAAAAAAAAAACCACAGTTGTTTCCATTATGTGCCACAGAGATATTATTATGCCTGGAGAAAAATGTAGAAACAGAGGCACAATGAAATAGCACGATTTGCGCAGTTGATGCAAAGAATTCACCTTTCCAGAATTGAGTGCTTGATAAGGATAGCTGACTGGACTCTCGGGCTAACAGGACAAGGCCTTGCACCCCTGGCCAGATAATAATGCTCTATTATGGTCACAGATCCTAGTGAGCCAGACAGCTGACACTGTAAGCGATAGGTCACAAGGTAGATCAGGCAAAAGAAAGATCTGTGTTCATCCTTCCTTCCCCACTGACCGAAAGACAGCTGAAGGCTCATAACCTGCAGGCCAAGGCTGATTGGTGGTGAAATTAAATACTGTGGTTGACCTGTATGTAGACACACACACACCCCCCCTTGGAAATTTTAACCACGCCAGGTATGCTGAAAACTATGTTAGATGAACCCACGCATCATTTTGCATTTGTCCCAAATGACACATCATTTGTTTATTAAAGACATCCTTCTCTTATTTGTACTTTAAATTCCTAGTCACTAAAGATAGTTCTCCTTAAGGTTAACCAATTCATATTCTTTGTTGATTTTCTAAAATTACGTGGAAAAAAGTGAAAATGTCAGTTAAATAAAACTGACACTTGGATGTTAGTTTTATTTGGAAATAAGTTCTAATTTGGAAATGGTTGTTTTTGGAAATAAGGTATGAAAAAAAAATTTCTCATACATCACACTTAGTAAAGTTATAATCATAGTTTAAGAAACGAACCTGTTACAAAAAACAACTCCAATCCCTCATTTTTCAGATTAGGAAATAAGAGCCAGAAGTTGATAAGAGATTTTCCTGAAAAAAAATTTTTTTTAAAAAGGAGATTTTCCTGTGAAACTCTGAAGGGCAGCCCAATGTGGTCATGACAACAGAAAGAACCTCAGGCCCTAACTATCCATTATAAGTCTGAAGCTCCATATCAGTAGATTGCAGAGAGATAGAAGAGGAATTCCCCATACTGCAAATCATTCCCTAGGCAGTGTGGTGTGAGGGGAAGGAGAATGAGAGAGATTTGGGTTTTCAATGTTGGCTTTTTTACTTACTCGCTCTCCACCCCCCAGCTGTATGATAGAGAATATTAATCTCTTCAAGTCTCAGTTTCTTCATCAATAAACTGGGGATAAGCAGACCTATTACAAATGTCACATGTGATGGTGAGATACACCTGGCAGGTGCCCTGTAACTGTAGCTATTCTTATTATTACCAGGAGACTTTGAGCAGTAATGAATTCAATTTTATATGGGAAGATAATTCTAGGGACTTAGCTCCAGAGGGCATGTTCTATCACTAAATGTTCCAGAAGAAACAGGTAAGAACTGCGGTGATTGCCATTCCCCATCCCAACCCCCAGATGCATTTGTCATCTTATATTTTAAAAGTAATTCCTTTTGAGAATTTGGCCTCATCTATGAGTTTGACATGTGGTCACGAATCATTGCAAAGCTACATGGCCCACATGGAGACTGAGTTTGAAGTCTAGGTTATCATTTGTGAAGTGTCCTGAACAAGGGGAGCAACCACCTTCAGCTATGGGGAGCATGGAGAACAAGGATTTTCCCCAATTTACATAGACAATAAAAGGTGAATGTAAGTCCCTGTCTCATTCATACCCATGGAATTTTAATTTATGGAGGTGACTGAGTGATGCTATGGAGAAGTCAATGCCAATGAAAGAATTTGTTACTTACATATCCAAAGAGGAGATGGCACACCATACCACACTGGGGCATGTGAGGAGCACTAACTTTTGGTCAGGAAGATGAAGCCAGGGCAACTGGAAAGTCTAGGTCAGGCTCTTTGTTCAGGAAAGGTAAGGCAAGGGAGATAAAACATTCTAGGATTAGTCAGTTTGACTAATTCCTGCATGCTTAGGGCTACAGGGTTTCTCTCGAGTTACCTGGTACCTAGACCAGGAATGATTTAGGGCAAGGGAAATACTGGCTTGGTGTGTAAGAGTTAAAAATAAAGAGGATGGCTAGGTGTGGTTTGCAACAGAAAGGTCTATTTCCAGGCAAACTTTAGAAACCAGCTAGCTAGGCGGTATAGTCTCTCTCTGTGGCTGGAAGGCCCTCAATATATTAGAACATCATAAAATCCAGAAACTAAGAAGACATGTACTATGCATTTCCCCTGAGTTTATGCTATTTTCTATAAATCCCTCAATTACTTAGTACTCTCACATGGTATATATAGAAATTCATTTTCATTTCATATGCAAATAGTAAGCAGTCTTGGTTTCTAATTTTCAAACAGTTAGAGATTTGGGCGATTTTATTTTGCCTTTTATAAGTACAGTTCTTTTAAAAGACGTTGAAGTTTACATTGCGTCACCAAGTCCCAGAGGTTCAAAGACTAAAAGGGGTGTTGAAAGTCACTCAAGCCAATTCTTTCATTTTAAATCTGGGGAACCAGTCATTAGGAAGTCTTCTGATTCCCAATAGCTTAACCAGTATTAAAATCAAACACAGAATATAATTAAGCATATAATTAAAAACATTAATAACCACACTTAGTCAAAAAGTGGTTACATTTCAGAGTGTAACTAAACTTTTTTTTTCTTTTCTCTTGTCTCTCCTCCAATGTAACTGCTCAAAGTGGAAACACTAGAAAAAAGTCTCTGCAGATCAAATCATCAGAAGTTAGGAAAAACTACAGGAGCCACTGTCAAGCCAGATTTCTGTTCACAGGATCATCCTGCCATCACCAGCTCAGCCAGCAAACTTTAGACAAAATCAAGACCAATGACTAGATAAGATAGCTCTACTGGGGAAATCAAGGCAAAAATCAATAAAGATGGGTATTAAGTTCTATCTGGAGAAGAATGAATCACTCCATTCTTGAATTTCCATTGTGTTTGGCTGTTTCCTCTTAAGGGTAATAATAGAAATACAGCATGGACATTAGCATTACATTTGGATTTGGATACTATCTTCTGCCTAGCTGATTCAGCTGCATAAGAGGCTAATGATAAGGACAGCAGACAGAAAACTAGAAAACCAGAATAAGCATGTCCTTACCTGGAATGAGAAGTAGAGGTTCTAATTGCAGGGAGTTGCCATGGGTGTTAACAATACCTGGACTTATTCATTCATCTTCCTGAAGCACAGAGCTCTAAATGTATGTGCTCCTGGAAGTAAACATGATTAAAAAATTACTAGAAATAAAAATGATTTCATTCATTTAGTTTTTGTTTCATCACAGTTATAATACATGCACATACTTTAAAAATGTAGTCCTAAAAAACTAATTATGCAAAACAGCAGTTTCATACTTACCAAATTCTCTTTTCAGTCACAGATATTACAATTCTTTAAGTCAATTCTTTGGGTATATACATATACATCCTTAAATAACATTCTTATACAACTACATCTTGAAAGCTAAACACTTTAGGCATTATCTCTGGACTTTGCAGTGTGATAGGTGAGAATTTAGCTCTACCCATTCTCTCCACTTGGCCACATCACATATACAGACATTGCATTCCCCCATGTAATTGTGATTAAATCCATATTTGCATTACTACTATGTAAATGCTATTCACTGCAGAGTAATTCACAACACTTAAATAACCTTTCTTGCACAATTTTTAATCTCCCCAAAGTTGATAATCATTTTACTCTTTGCTTTTTTTTCAATGTTTTTAATTATGAATTCAACCCAAGTTGTGATACCTCTCTATGAATTTCCACTCTGACATAGTCTACTGATTTCAATAACTTGAAATTTCTCCCTCAACAAACTATTCAGACTGATCCTTCGACTTCTATAAGCTGCCATTTGGGAATCTTCATTCTCTTCTTATTTCCTTCATCTCTCCTTTGGCTGAAATTTCCTATTTCCTGAATCTCGCAGTCCCTGATTTGCTACTCCCTTACTTTGGTAGAGTACATCCACCAATGGACTTGGTGAGGAAAGGTAAACATAAGAGGTAAACAGTTTGTTATCTCGTATGTCTGAAGTTGTCTTTATTCTACTCTTAATTGATAACTTGGCTATGCAGAGAACTCTAGGCTGGAAATCCCCATGAACTTTGAAGGCATTTCTCTATGTACCACATGGTCTCTTTAAGGTATTTCACGGATGGTTCTGTTGAAGTTTTCTTCTCCCAGCAGATTCTGTTTCCTCAGTTGTCTTTTCTCATTTACTAGTTTGGGGGGTCTCTGTGTTTCATATACAAGGACTTTCTAAATGTCTACCTAGCCTTGGCTGTCTGCTCCAATGTAAGACCAGGGCACAAAACATTTGATCAGAAGATTTGTGCATGTGAGAGGAATTCATTGCTGTGCCATTATATTAGGGAACCTCTTGACCCTGATATCAGCATATTTAGATATTTCTCTTGGGTTTTTCCTTTCCCCCAAGAAAAACTCTTCCAGTCTTCTGACTGGAGGCTTAAGATTGCCACTCTAATTCTGAGCTGAGAGGGGGAAGAAGGGGAAAGGTCCCTCAATGTTCAGTTCACATTTTCACTTCTTCCTCCTGTTTGCAGCAGGGAATCCCTAGCCCTACCTGTGTTCAGTGTCCTCCCCATCCAGAAAGCCTCTCCTCTTCTAAGTCATTTATCACTTGTCCACTTACTCTTCCTAATTCTGCTAGGTAGTCTTGTGTTTTGTTTTTGTGCATTTGATTCTTTATAACCTTCTTTATTGTTGTTTTTAGTAAGATTTCAAGGGATAGAAGTAAATGTATGCATTCAAGCCCATCTTTAACTGGAAGGCAGGAGTACTCATTTCCAAACACTGGCTTCACTAAGTCATTGATACTGGTAATTCGCTCATGACCTACAACTTCCAACTTCATCCATTTATGGATACTTATTGACTGCCTACTCTATGCCAAGCACTGTACCTGATGTTGGTTAGCAAGACATTTAGGACCTCAGAAAACACACAGTCTATGGGATTGTAGCTAGACAAACAGGCAAGTGGTCCAGCAAGGGGAAGTACAGCTTGCTCTATGACACTTGGGAGGGCCCCTAACCTACTTTGGTGGGATCATCCAGGCACCTAGATATTCAACAAGTATTTCTTGGATGTCTATCATGCCAGCTACTATGCTAATGCTGGCTACCTAGGAGTGAAAAGAATAGATACAGCACCTACACTGTAAAACCATGGCCCAACTTCTGGAATCTGGCTGCAAGAGGTCAAATCTTAGCTTTTCACTTACTATCTATATATTCTTGGGTAACTTACCTAGTAGTCATTTTGTACCTTTGTTACCTAAAAGTACTTGAGAAGATTAAATGAGTCAAAATATGTAAAACATATGTTAACAGTGCCTGTAGAAGTCAGCATTATGTATTACTAATTGTTAATATTTTAAGTATCAAATAAAAAGATATTTATATGTATTCTACAAATGCATATACACAGAAACATTTACATGTGTATTACATACACATTTATGTACGTCTGTGTGTATATGATGGATACATTTACAATAGATTGTGTTACAATAAAGCATTAAGTACTAAGGGTGAAAAGTATAGAGCATTACAAGAGCAATAAACCAGAGGAATCCTTATTTAGTAGGGGCCTCTTGTTTCCTAATGAACCCCTGAGTCAAGCACATTGCTACCTTTAAATATTAACCTACATGCCATAGATGAACTGGGGGAAATGATTAAGAATAATCTAAGCTTATCTGAGAAACAATATACTGATTAACCACCAGCTCTTTCACCCCTGAAAAATCCTACATGAATACAAATAAACAAGCCTTTCAAGTCGTTAGAAAGCACTTTAATCTGTTTGAAATTTGGATAGAAATTTTGGATAGCAAAGAGGCACATGCTCATTGCATAGTAAGCTAGAGTGTCTAAAGGCAGAAGAAGAAAAACAGTCAGAAGTACTGTAGCATTCACAATTAAAACCAAAAATGAGAATAAAGCTCCTTCTAAGGAGTTCATATCCCAGTTGCTGTCACATTTCTATAACATAAGTGGGACACCAGCTGGTAGTAATGCTAATTCATCCATCTTTCATTTACTGTTTGTCACTTCACAGATGTTGAATCTTATCCATTCCTTTTTTTCCTTCGTATTTCAAATGCCCTAAGCATCATATAAGCTACCATTATGCCATTTCTCCAGGTAATGGTGCTCAATCAGGGGAGAACTTGACCACCAGAGGATAATTGGCAAAGTCTAGAGACATTTTTACTTCTCACAACTGGAGATGAGGTGCTACTGGCCTCAGAGGATGGGGATGTTGTAGAGGACAGGGATGTTACTGAACATTCTGCTCTCCTCATGACAGTCCCCCATAACAAAGAATTATCCAGTTTAAAATGTAAATAGAGTCAAGGTTGACAAATTGTACCAAAGAAGGTACGTTTACATGCACATGAATTTTCTGGGGACAAACTCCATAGCTTTTACCAAATTCTCAAAGGCACTATATAACTGAAAAATATAAGAAACACTAACTTTAAGTGATATTTCATCTAGAGCTTGGTAACAAGCCTATTACTCCTACTTCACAACAGAAATCACCTCTCTATTTAAGAAGTCTCATTTTCTGCCAGGCAGATTTTGCTGTCCCTATTCACTATCCACTTTCTTCCAACGAGAGGCAAACACAAATCTTTGGCATTTCTGTCTCTGGGTCCTCTAAGTAACGTATCCCCCTCCAGCTAGCTAACACAATTATTATGGTTATAGTGACTATTAACAATTAAGTCATAGCTTCATGATATGTCAATAAAAGTCCTGTTTTCTTCAGACACAGCAACTCATTTGATCAAAAACCATTTAGTCAGTGCCTATGTTTAATATAGTGATAGGTACTGAATGATGAAAACAAGCCTACAATCGAGTACTCAAGAAAAAGTAATAAAAATTTAAAATACAATACAGGAGAAGGGTGTGAAAAGTGAAGGTAAGAGGAGCTAAATCGATGATGAAAGGGGAGGACTGAACCAGATCACCTCATGCCACCGAGATACAATAAACAGCTAACTCGACCCTGGCTGTTCTGGGGAATTCTGTGATAGTTACAGCCCAGTACAGGTAACTTGAACTTCATATTCAACTAATATGTCCTGGGGATGACAGGCAAATTTGAGAGTGGAAGCTTTGGAAAAGGTGAGGAAGTCAAATGCAAAAGCCTCCATTTTCACTTGTTACTAATTGATTCAATCAGAAATCAATATGGGATGAGGAATTGGTGAGGGGGAGGCAGAATTAAAAAAAAAAAAAAAGGCTAAAAAGCCGCTTCCAGACAACCAGTAGACATAATCGTTACAATCGCCCTGTCCTTTGATCACATAGTGGAAGCTGGCTGCCTTTGCCGGTAAATCAAGAGATGAAAAACTCGACCATCCCCCTAACATTAACTCAACACTTTGCTAGTAGTCAGCCTAAACCGGCCAGGGCGGCTCGGCCAGCAATTTTCAGTGACAGCCTGGCTCGATTCTGGAACTCACTACAAGCCCCAGAGTGGCACCCGGGCTTCCGCCGGAGTGAGGTGCCGGGCGGCTGGTGAGAGAACAAAGGCTGCACGTCCCAGTTCAGAGGCGCCCGGCCCGCCGGCCTCACGGGGCCGGGGCCGGCGGTGGGGCCGGGTGGCGGGCTCGGGATCCGTACCCTCGCCGGCGCCGCGCGGGCCCTCCGCTCCAGGCCCCGCTCCCGCCCGGGGCACCCGCGGGCGCCGCCGCGACCGGAGGCACGTGGGGAGCGCCACGAGGGGGCCAGGGTCTGGCCGCCACCCGAGCGAGCGAGCTACCGCGTGGCTTGGGAAACACGCTGCGGGGCTGTCACCTCCTGACCGCGACCGAGCGGCTCCCGGTGGCGGGGGAAGCCGCCCAGGGAAAGCACGCGGGCGGGGAGGAGCGCCGGGGACGCAGGGCGACGTCCCCTGCAGTTCCCGTCGCGCCGCGGCCGCGGGCGCGCCAGGCCCCGCCTCCCCGCGCTTATGTAATAGGGGCGCGCCGCCATTGGCCCGCGAGACCGGAAAGGACGCGCGCGCGCGGGTGGGGGCGGGGAAGGGGCCGCCGCCGCAGGAAGGGGGGTGGGCGGGGGCCGTGAGGAGCGGGCGGGCGCTGGGGCGACTGGGAGCGCGGCGCAGCGTGCGCGGGCACGAGGCGTAGTGGCTTCCCCTAAGGCTGAGGCGGCGGGTGCGCGCGGCGGCGGCGGCGGGTGCGCGGCGCGGGCTGTTGTGCTCCCGGCTCTCCTCTTTCCCTTCCTTGGCGGGTGGAGGAGACCCAAGCGGTGCTGGGCGCGCTCCCCCTTCCTCTCCCTCCGTCGCCTCCCCCGGCCCTCTCGCGCTGCGCGGTCTCTCCGACGCCAGACTGTCCCGGCCCGGGTGAGCGGCTGTGGGGGCGGCGCTGACGCCGCAGGACGCCGGGGAGCCGGGTGGGCCCGCCGGCGGGGTCGGCGGCGACCGTGGGGGTCACCGCGGGTCGCCGGGGGCCGTCGGCCTCCCCGCTCTCCCCCGGGGTGGTCGGGCCCGGCCGGTCCCGGCGCGGGCCGCGGGCAGGAGGGACGCTCGGGCGCCTGCCAGGCCCTGCAGGTGGCCGGGTCGCAGGCCGGCCGCGGGAGGGGAGCGGTAACCTTACCCCTGGCCACAGCGGCCGCCCGCGCTCTCGAAGCCGGGGCGCCCGGTGGCCCAAGGCGCGGGGTTTCGGGCAGCCGAGGCCTCCGGGAGGCGCGTCTCGGCGGGCCAGGGTCTGTGAGGAGGGGCGGGTCGGTGGGGGCTGTTTGGCCCTTGGTGGCAGCAAGGCGGGGGGCGCTTTCGGGGTTTGGAGAGGAAGGTGCGCCCGGCTACAGCTGGGATCAGTGAAGTGTTGGGTGAAACAGACCGGCGTCCTGGCACTTTCATCCTCTCACCTCCCCAAAAAGGATGTCCTTTAACGCAGGGGTCAGGATGTTGTTCACTGCCTGGGCCTCTTGGTCTGAGATGGTTGTGACAAATGAGTCTACTTCCTCAATCCGAAATCTTCACTTCTTTCACTCATTTCTTTTTGGTTTTAAGAAGCTCTTTGGGGCCGTGCTTACTTGTTGACTCCTTGTAAGAGCCCCATGTTGTAGACGGCCTCTGTATTCATACTACGACTTTCCTCTTTGTAGCCCCCCCCCTCTGAAAACCACACTAAGAGTTATGTTTAAAAAAAAAAAAAAAAGCAGCGTTTGGGTGTTTGTAAATGACTTGTCGCTCCTTGGTTTGTTGGCATCTAATTAAGAAGTTACGCTTAAGATTTTGCAGAAAATTCGATGGGCTTGAGTCAAGTCCTAAATTGAGCTGTCCAAAAGCAGGTGGTTTGTTCGTTTGCATTGCTGCTTTCAGAAAGGAAATCAATGCAGTGTGTGTTGGAAGTTAGGGGCCTACCCCCGCGCATTTAGACTGATTCCATTCCCTTTACCTGGTGTTAGGTTTTCTGTTCTAAAAATAAGATCAGGCAACTACAGTCTTATTAAAACTTTTATGGTGTTTTCCTGATTGTTGTTACATGGCAAATGGGTTAAGTCTATTGTGTAATGTTACATATTAGGTTAAGTCCTAAATGCAAAAGTTAAAAACAATGCTGTATATACCTAAGACATTGCATTATACTCATCACTGCATGAAAATGAATTTTAAATAGCTATTAACTTCTCAGTGTCCAAAAAAAAACCTACCGGAATTAGTGGCCTGCTGTTTTATAAGGTTTTTTCCTATGTAAAACAATTATGTGGTTACTCACAAAATTAGTGTAGTAACACACATAGCATGCATTGTTTGGAAGAATTCATATGTACAAAAGGACTGAAGTATCCTAATATAAGGTACTGATAGTAAGATATTGGGACATTAGTATGTACTAGAACATTGGGATACATAAATCATTCCATTTGGCTTGGGATTAATAAGAATTTGGTTTAAAAAACAAAAATGGAAGTTTGTCATCAAGGACTAAAACATCTGGTAATATTTACCATTATTTGGAATGAGATTCTTAAATCAGACTAGTATACTAAACAGTTTCTCTAATTTCTTTTTGTTCAGTTTTTGTAACTTCTTGAAATACTCTACTGGCTTCCTAGAAAAGAACTGGTTCTCTTCTATATTTTGAATTTCAGTTCAGTGTTTAATGTTGGTGGCAACTTGTCTGATCCGTGCATTTATTTTTTTAGTTTTCCTTTTTCTCAGAAACTCAGGTGTTTCTGTGAAATAGTTTGATCTCATATCCATTAACTAGTTAGAATTCCATTCAGGAAAAGCCAGCACTACTTATTGGTAGAGTTGTTGTATGTTCATGTCCTGCAATGATTTAAAAGTTTAAATTTAATTACAGAGCTAGTCACAAATCTTAGGGCTGTAGCTCAATGAATTTTTGCAAGTAAACACACTTACATAACTATTACCCAAATCAAGATAGAGAACATTGTCGGCATCCCAGAAATCCCCTTTCATTCTCTTTCTTCCCTGCTTTATTTTACCTCTTTTGAACTGTATCTGTATAGTCTTTGCATCTGGCTTCTTTAATACTGAGATACAACCTTGTTGTTACTTGTAACAATGGTTCCTTCTTGCGTCCTAGTACTCTGTTATATAAATAATACTCAAAGTTATGTATCCATTTTACTATTAATCATTTGGGTTGTTTCCAGTTTGGAAACAGGTGCTGTAAACATTTTTGTACCATGCCTTTCATGTTTGTACATCTGCATTTCTGTTAGATACATACTAAGTGAGGAATTGCTAGGTTACATAGAGTATCCAGTTATGAGTTTTCACAGTGGTTGTACCATTTTATCCTTTGGTAAATTCCAATTTTTATGTCTAAAATTTTGAAAAAAAATTTTTGATTGACAACTGCTTCTATAAAACTTAATGCTTCAACTCAGAGTATTATAGTTATACTTACTCTATGTTAGAGCAAATACAGCAATCTAATGCCTCACTTCTGTTTTTAGATATGGCTCGTGGACAGCAGAAGATTCAATCTCAGCAGAAAAATGCCAAAAAGCAAGCTGGACAAAAGAAGAAACAAGGACATGACCAAAAGGCTGCTGCCAAAGCTGCCTTAATATATACCTGCACTGTCTGTAGGGTAAGGGGAAATGGAAAACAGCCCTCCCAGAGACACTGTTTGGTTTCTATAGGTTAAAATTTTACAACCATGGTAAAATAAATGCTTACTTGAGATGGTAGATTTGAGAGCTGGTTATTTATAGACTCCACCCTCATTTATTCAATGAATATTTTTTCCCATGACTCCTATGGCCAGGTACAATTATCTAGGTATTGGAGGAAAGGAGTGAATAAAGCACAGTTACTTTTTTTATGGAGAACAAAGATGTCTTCTTTTCATTTTTTATTAGTTTCCTTTATTTTTTTACATCGTTCATTTTTAAACAATATTTGCTTTCCCCCACCCCTCAGGTGTAGTCCCCATAGTTTCCTTAACCAATGCACCCGTGCACCATCACCTCAGTTCCCTGTGCTCCTCCCTCCCTCTGATCCCTCTCCCTCCTCCTCCTCTGCAGTATGTCTATGTTTTATAATTGTCTGTTTTTGCTTTGTTGTGTTTTGTACTGTTATTTTCTTTTTACACTGATGTCTTACTTGGTTCCCCTACATTCCTGCAATAAGTGAAACCATCCGATATTTTTCTTTTTTCCTTCTGGCTTATTTCACTGAGCATAATACAAAGATGTCTTCTTAATGGCAAATAATATACTTTGAACTTCATAAGGAAGTCAGATCTATATTGTTAGTTTACAGCTATGTAAGGTATTAGTGAATATATCTTTATATTTTCCTTTACTAAATCCATAGGTCTTCTAATCTGGAGTATATTCATATTGAAGGCTTTAATAGAATGGATGTGTTTCATTAGATTTGAGGAATAATTGTAATAGCTACTATTTTGTTTTTGTTTTTTTTTTTTAAAGATGTATTTTTATTTATTTATACAAGCACTGGGTACAGTCAGAAGTGCGGGAGGGTGAGAGAATTCATCAGAGCCAGAGCGGGGAGCAGAGCAGTCAGAAGGACCGAAGTACACTGCTGAGGGGAGCAGCAGGCGGCAGGAGAGGTCTGCGCGCCATGTGGGACCCTCCTCTGGTGGTCGGGGAGCAGCTGGGGATTGAACTGGTGCTGCAGAGGCTGCGAGCAGCTTCGCAACCCAGCGCTCAACCGCTGCGCCACCGGGGAGGCCCAATAGCTACTATTTTGTGTTAACATTTATGAGTACGTTAATCCGAACATCAGCTCTATGAGATAAAGTACTTTCATTCACATAATAAAGAAAAGTAAACTGAGTCTCTGGATTAAATAACTTGCTAAGGTTAGTCAGCTAGTATATAGGAAGAGCTAGAATTTGAACTTAATAGAATCCAGGTTCAGAGTCCACCCTCTGGCCCACTACATTATGCTGCTTCACAAGGAAGTTTTTCTTAAATTCCAAGCTATAGTCTCTTGCCTATTGTATGGATTTGTGCATGTTTGCTTTGTTTTCCAGAGTACCGGAGTAGGATTGGTGGTATAGCTAGGAAGGATAAGATATGATTCATGGACTAAGCTTATCATCTGTTGAAGTCATTACTGATGAAATAGATGTTCCTAACTACATAAACATTCTCAATCTAAGAGAGGAAAATTAACATTATTTTGTTCATACTGAACTTGGGTATGCTAAAAGCAATGAAGTTGAACAACTTCAAATCTGTTTGGAAATAAACAGGCTAAAAGTAAATTTCAATGTATTAACTGCTAGGAATATTTTGACCTAAAAGTTCCAGAGGAGTTCACATACTGAAAATACTCAAAATAACAACAAAAAAAACTTACTTCATATTTTGCCTATTAGAATTTACGGAAAAATAATAAAGGTCCTTACCTAGATAAATCAGTGTAGTATAGTATTTGAGAACTGAAGTATCTAGTACTAGATTAAAAAAGGTCTTTGGCAAATTAAACTGAGTTTTAGTTTCCTTAATGAAATTAGGATAATAGGAACTAATGTAGGTCTTATGAGAATTCCAGTAGCATTCTTAATACATTAAGTGTTCTGTAAATATTACTTAGTGTTGGCTGATAATCAGATAAGTAGAATATTTCATTCTGTGTGACACTTCATAGGTGAAATACGAGAATATGTTAGGAATTTGTCACAAGGTCCTTTTTCATTTGCCAGACACTAAGTAGTAAAAATTGTAAAAAGTTTTCTGATAATTGTAATGAGCAGGTGAAGGACTTTTTAAGTTTGTACATTTTTACCTAACAAATACATTCTAAAATTTTTTTGTACAATTTTTAAAATTAGACACAAATGCCAGACCCTAAGACCTTCAAGCAGCACTTTGAGAGCAAGCATCCTAAAACTCCACTTCCTCCAGAATTGGCTGATGTTCAGGCATAAAGTTGTTTACAGGTAACTGGCCTTTTTTTTTTTTCTTTTTGTTTGTTAATGTCGGGGTTGTTTACCATAGCAAAGTAATCTCTTGTAATTGTGAAATTAATGTCTACCTTCTAGCTGAGACTTTATTGCTTTTCCCTTTCAACTTAATGTTTAACGACATTGTTAAAAGTCCATTTCCAGATCATAGCCTTTCAATGCCCCTTGATAACACCCAAGTTTTTACTGCTGTAGCCCAAAATGGAAGGATGAGGGAATGCTGGCTCACTCTGGTCCAAGAATGGAAATATATTACCAGCTTTTAAAAAATACTATAAAGATATTTGAGGCTCTTGCTCCCAGAAATGATGGAGACCAATGTTCCTGAGTGCCTTTTGAAAGTATTTACTGGACAGTGCTTAGCAGAACTAAGTCCATTAAAATACAGAGCAAAATATAAACATACACTGTATAAATTTTGTAATTGCTTGGAAATAGTTTATACTTTCTGTGTGGTTGAGTTGTTTCTCCCTACCCCCAAATGGTGATGATGGTGACAGTAATATGAGGGTATATGACAATTCTTATTAAAGATCTGTTTATAAAATTCAGTTGGCAGATCTATCAGACTAGCTTTAATAGATTAGGCATGTTGTGCTTTTTTTTCCTTAGATATTTAATATGCATAAAATTGCATTGGTACTATACTTATAGTCATTGAAAATTTTGTTTATGTTTTATAGGTGAATTCATGACACCTTTGACTCTTCTACTGTCTCAGACCTTAGGTAACAAACCTGCAGCTGCTTTTCTAACAAACTGTTGATCAGCAAAAATAAAGGGGCTACAGAAACACTCATTTTTATGCTGTTCCCTTTTGGGCTTCATGCAAAGACAATTCTGTGTAAATGTACAGTTGACTCTGATTTGGAAATCTGAAATTCAGTCCATCCTTGTTATAAAAAATTTTTTTACAATTGTAATTATATTGATGTTCATATTGTGTAAAATAACTCATTTAATAAAGTAGTACTTTGATTTTACAACATCACAGGATAAACGGTTCCAGAAATTCTGTTCTAACGTTCCACATTATTTGCCTTATAAAAATCTAATGAATTCATGAGCTAGAATTGCAAGCATTCTTATCTCCCTTTCTCAGCTCAAAGGCAAGTTCATTAGGTGAACTAGAGCGGACTCATTCATTACATTGTGCATACAGTTTTGTTGGCAGCTGCTGATCTAGGTAAAGAATGACTTGTCTGCTGCCTTAGTATATTGCAATCATGTGTCATTTACCCCTCTGATTGTGTCTATGTTTGAGGTTGGAATGTTTCAACTTGCTGTGTGACCTGGCTGTTGCTGCCAGCCAGGTATACCTTGTAAATAACTTAAAATTTCCTGATGTGGTTGGTTGGAAGATTAGGTTCTGAAGTATGTGCCATAATGAAATCATCAATAAGCTTGTCATTTAATACAAAATATGATGGAACATTTGTGAATTGGTAAAGATCTATCTTTTATAAATTATATTGTATCCTTTGAAAATTCTTCAAGTTCCTTAATTTGACATTGAAACTCATAATTTTCGAAAGAGTTTATGGAAGTTACCAATTTGACTAATATTGTGAACGGGTTTTGCATTAACAGGAAGATTAGAACGATTGTGCCTGGGATACCTCCCAGAACTTTCTCACTCTTCTCTTTTTGAGTAGCTGATTTTAGGAGTTTGCTTTGTGTTATTTCCTAAAATCCAAGACTGTGTATAGTATGACTTTTACCTGAACTAGAAAAATATTAAAATAGGCCATTACCCACATTCTTTTGGCACTAATAAGGATGGGGGGATTGGGTTGGTTCAGATGGATAAAGTCATTTTACCCAATTAAGACTAATTTAAGGTTATTCTATTTGTTTTTGTCAATCACCAACTTTACAAATGAAACTGCTGTAACTCAATTTAAATTTTAAAGTTGACATAATAGGAAGCACATGCAAATATTTATTGGTAACTGCTTAGAGCCACAAGTCTGATCCTGTGGGTTACAAAACGCTTTCCCTCTTTCTGCTGTAACTCATCCTTGCCTTTGTTTGTAGCTGTGCATATTCTGCCCACTTGTCTGTCTTCACTGTAAGTTTAAAATAAGATACTTCCAAGGAAAAGCTTCAGTGGTGATAGTTTCTTAGCAACTCCTATTCTTATATTCTTTCTTTAAAAAGTTTTTTCATGTATTTAATTTCCTAAGTTTCAGAATTTTTATCCATTGTTTCCTAATATGTTGATTTCCAGAACATTAGAATTTGTCTAATTGCTTGTGGGTGGGCATTACAGAAGTTCTGGTTAAATTACAATTTAAAGATTTTTAAAAGTGCTTTCAGCATATGTATGTTTATGTTCAGTAGCAAATCATTTAGAAACCATTCACAGTTTTGGTTTAATTTTTTCATTTGTTTTACTGATTGTAATTCAGAATAAAAACTTTTGTTCCTGTATTTAACCCTTTTTTATAAGCAGCTGAAGACACCATATTTAAGTATATCTCAGTGACAGGAAATAGCTGCATTGATCTGCATAAAACATTCTCATACTTCATGTGAGGATTATTATTAGTATAATCCTGTTTTTTATTATGTTTGAGTTAAATCTGCTATGAGGGGAAAATTCAAATTCTTAACCATCCCCCATTATTTAATTTGAAGATTCTTTAACAGATCACAGCAGAGTCCATTATAAAACTGTTATGGTGTCTTCAAAGACTTGATAAAATACACAGAACTTAATCTGTTTGTATTCTGTATTTCCATTAGATGCCAAAAGGAATGGGGTTAAGATTAAACTTGTTTCCATTCTCCTTCACATGGATCTTTACCCCCATGTTTATCTGACACACTGGGGGCTCAGTTGTGTGCTGTAATGTCTTATTAAAAAAGATATTAAAGAAACCTAAACTAGTGTAATTTCTTCTACACTTTTGGAGGGTCTTATATTGCCGCTTTTATTTTTCCCCATTTCTTGACTTAGAATTGTCCCTTGAGTGTAGCATTCAGTCTGATGTGAAAATGAGATTTCTTATTGTCTTCCCTGCAGTCTATTTTCAGTTTATAGAATACTTCCTAAGAATGAAAGGGAAAAAGTTATTTGGGAATATTGCTATGTAGAATAAGTATACATTATAAGAATGAGAAAGTATTGATTGTTCACATAAAAATAAAACAACAAATGGTTAGTCATTTAATTGAATGGCATAGATAAGTCCTTTATGACTTTGACTTAGTTTTGAGAACACTTTTGCTTTTATATTAAGGATACTTTATAGCTAATTATATCAAAATCAAACCTGGGATTTATGTAGCATAACTAAGATTACAAACATTACTATTTTACCCAGAATACCCTTATTTTTCATTGGTAATATGTGGAATATCCTATACTTGTTTTGAAATGTGGTAATATAGAGACCTTTGTTTCTATAATATGTAGTGATCACCCTTATTCCAAACTGTAATTGAGATACCGTATTTTACGTACTAAATCTGAATTAATTCACTTGTGCTAGATTTTCATTTTGTGGGGAGTGTTTGGCTTAGTTTTGGTCAGAGATACTACACTTTTTAGAGTGTATAGCAGTGAAAATCAACACTAGGGGGTTGTGTTTATTGTGACTTTACATTCTGAAATCTTTCAAACTAGCCCAATTTTATCTATTGTACAAGTTTCAGAAAAATCATAAATGCTTCTGATGCATAGATTTAATAAAACATTCTGCTTTACTTAGAAAATAGATGTTTTAATTAATAAAAGTTTGTCCTGAACATATTAAGCAAAACTAAATGTTTTCTATTTTAAATGTTCTTTGGATAAAGCCATTTACTGAGTTACCATCCCTTTGGATTTTGTTTGTTTTTAAAAAGCTATTTTTTAGCTCCAGTATTTTATAAATAGTATGGCTTCACATTTAAAATCTGCATATATAGAGACATTTCAATTATTATATCCATGTGGACATACCACAATGTGAAGTAATTGTTAAAAAATTTTTTTAATCACTTTTAGCAGTATATGATATTGATAATGACTTAGGTTTTTATAGATCAGATAAGCCCCTCACTTTATCACTACCTTCTGTCTGGTAAAAATCAGAATGGGACTTGATTTTGGATTCTATTTTAGTGAAATTTTAATTACTAAGAAGTAGGACATCATATTTCCTCTAACAGTGGAGCAGTGTTTCTCAGGATGAGGTATTTAGGCTAACCATAACATCCTGGTTTGCCATAGATGGTCTTGTATTAAATGTTAATACTGAATATCAAATTAATATTAGACATCAAGGTGTCATGATTATAAATCTAATGTTACCTTTTTACACTGTGTCAGTCAGTTTATAGATTACTGATGTCAAACAATTGTGCTCTTTTAAAATGTAGACTTTTTGCTCAATATCCAGACATTTTTACTGATTAAATGGAAATAGGTAATATTGGCAAGGTTTGTCTTTTAAAGATATTGAATGTATTTTTATGGAATTTTTTTTTATCCTACATATCTGGTAAAATAATTTAGATTCCAAAACTGTAAAGTTTTTATTCACGGGCATTCATAAAAAATACTGCCAGCTGATAAAATCTGCAACATTGGCTACAAGTTAGACATCCTCTGGGCTAATGACTTAATGACAAATCTTTTGGTTTTGAAATAGGCTGCTTCTCCATATTATTTGATCTGGATCTCTGAGATTTTCTTTTTCATAAACTTAATTTTGAAATATGGTTTTACCTAGAAGGAAGTTGTAAAGATGTTACAAGAGAGTGCTTGTAACTTAACTTCAGTTTCATATTACAATTTTACATTACTGTGGTATGTTTGCCATCTCTATGAAACCAACATTTATATGTTACCATTAGCTGCAGTCTGTCTATTAATGTCCTTTTTCTCTTCCAAGATCCAGTCCAGGATAACATATTGCATTTAATTGTCATTTTCCCTTGGTCTCTTCTGCCCTCTGATGGTTTCACTGTCATACCCCTGTATTTCGTGGCCTTGACAATTTTGAGATGTTTGGTAGAGTGCTGTAGACTCTCTGGATTTGTCTGGTGGTGGTCTCTTAATTGCAGTGGGATAGTAGGTTTTTGGGGAAAAGATCACAGATAAAATGCCTTCCTTGCATCATCCTGGAGGGAAGTGATCCTCACATGACATCAGCACTGGTTCGTTTTTTTTTTGTCATTTGGTTATAGTGCTGTCTGCCAGGTTTCTCCACTGGAAACTTACTGTTTTTTCCTTTCATACGTTAATTTTTCAAAGTAAATCCAGCCTTTCCCTTATTCAAGGAGAGTAGGGATTAGCATTGTCTCCTAGAGGGGAGAGTATGTATAATATTTGGAATTCCTCCCCCATTCAATTATTTATGTCCACATGGACTCATATCCCAATATTGTGATTTAAGTTATCCAAACGTTGGCCATTGGAAGCTGTTTCAGATTGACTCCTGTATCCCTTTGACATGCCCCATCCTTTTTGAGCATATTTTTACTTTCAGATCTGTAAGATGCTCCAGGGTCATCTTGTAATTTCCATGGCCCAGCTCTAGAATGAACCCTAAAAGACCTCATTTCTTTTATTGGAAATAGTATTTAGAAATCAAGATCTGGGCACTGGGCATGTGCTGTTTCTACTTTCTAAATTTAAATTTTTTAGATTACGAGTTTTTTTCCTTCATTAGCTAACATTATTTGAGGACTATAGGAAAGAAGAGTATCCTTATCCTAGATCTGAGGTATGAAATCTGAGCGCTTTTCTGCACATTATTACTGAATCATTCACTTAAGTCACCAACCTATTGACAGTGCATTTAAAATTATAGAAAGACAAGTTGTAAAAAAAAAAAAAATAAAGAGGTTCCTAATCTTTAGAAATTAAAATGCATTTTAGGAGATAAAGCATAATATTACAAAGTTTTAGGCTCTGCGGTTAAGTGCTTGGTGTGCTTTGTAGGTTAATTTCTACAGAAATATATATATATATATATAGGAGGCAGATGACTTGTGGGATGGAG